CCATATCTCTGAGTTTTGAGTGGGCGCATGTCGCCAGTGTGCTGCGTTACTGTTTACATGTGTGAAAAGTGTGTTTGAAAACGAGTCTGATTGCAGCATGTGCGATCAGAGGCAACGACGTGAAGTCCAGTGGTTCTCGGAAAACCACAGTTTCTTTCTCAGGTCGAAAACACGGAGTTAGTAAAATTTCTTTCTCATTTTTAAGAGAGAGAGAAAAAAAAAAAGTTACATATCAGGCACGAAGTTGCCGCAAACACAGATTTACAGCAGGTCTCTCAAACAACACAAAGTAAAAGGACTCAGGCTTCTGACGTTGAAGTCTGCAGGTCAGCATGTAAGAGTGTAAGAATCGGCATCTACGGTCTTCACCCGAATAGAACGCCCGGTCATTATAGCTGTATTTGGCACAACTTTCGGTCCAGATCGGCGTTCTATTCGGGCGAAGACGGCAGTTCCAAGGCTGTGAAAGGCATTCCACGTTGCAGAACCCAAATTCGAATCTCAGGTTCAAAGTCTCAGGCCGAGAGAGGCCAAGTCGGTCAGTTTCAGAAAAGCTAAGTTGGGTGCCCCAGAGGTCTATATAGTATATACGGGATACTGGACCCGTTTTCCAGCAGGTGAAGCTCCCCACCAATAGATGGAGCCCCCCCATGGTGTTAGAGGTGTCTGCTCGTATCAGCACCTCTAAACATCCACAAGGGTCTTTTTCAAAAAAAAAAAAAAAAAGGTCCAACAGGCACCCAGTCAACAGTCACCTCCCAGACGCAAGAGTCACATCCCATAGGCAGACAAGTCACATCTTGCAGTCAAAAGTCATATTCCACAGGCAAGGGTCACGACTCACGACCAATAGGCGAAAGTCGTGTCTCAAAGTCAAAGGACATATTCTACAGGCAAAGGTCCTGTCTCATAATAGACGGGTAGTCGTTATCCCACATATGTAAAGTCATGACTCGACAGGCCCAAGCAGCAGCACACCAAGGACAATTCAGGGAGGTACCAGGCCTCGACAGTCGGAAGCAAACAGGTTGTGGGCATGTGGTACCAGATCCAAGTCAAGCCGAAGGAAGCAGAGGTGGGGTGCCGGGGACGAGTCGGGGCTCAGTCCAAGTCAATACAAGGACTGGCCAGCCACATTTCAGACAGATTGCTCATTCACAAGAAAGTGTGGAAGTGCTGCTGGCACTCATGCGCTATCTGCGGGTAGCTAGCGCTGGAGCTGACGGGGGGCGGCGCTGTGAAGGAGGAAGGGAGCGGCCATAGCCGCACAGCTACTAGTAGGGAATAGAGCTGAGTAGTAGCGGATGTATTCGGAGTCAAGATCCTCAAGTAGAGAGGGAGGGAGAGGTTGAGCGCATGCATAAAGGAGAGAGAGAGAGAGAGAGAGAGAGAGAGAGAGAGAGAGAGAGAGAGAGAGAGAGAGAGAGAGAGAGAGAGAGAGAGAGTCACCTACCTTGGATGGGGATGCTGGATACGAGTTGCTGAACTGCGCACTGTTGAGCGTTTGGTGGCTGGAACTCCGAGACTGGTTAATATGATAATTTGTTGGAATTTCGAAGCTGCGCTATTCTGGACTTTGCATCTCTGGTCTCCAGTGTGGATTTCGTTTGATCCCTCAGTGTGTGTGTGTGCTCATGGTGACGAGCAGTGAGGGTCAATGCAGCTGTGTCAGGGAGAGAGAACTGACAAATGCACTGCGATGTTGGAAACGGAATCCGAAAACATCCAGATGATTCATACGCGCACTCTGCTCCTTGACCCCCCCCCCCCTTCTCAAAGAGAAACAGCAGTCTCCTTTTCTGTCCCCCTCCCCCTCTCTCCTCCCCCACCTGTGCCCTCCTCCCCTCCTCTTGTACAGCAGACTCTGTGTGTGTGTGTGTGTGTGAACATGGTGGGCAAAGGTCGGGTAGACTTGCATCGTGTGTGTTGGTCCAATCTCTGAAACTTTTTTTGTTTTTTTTTTTCAAATTGTCTTTTCTTTTCCTGGTTGTTAATGGTTGGTGTTCCGTCGTTGTTCTGGTTGGCAATATTTTGTGTGTTGTGCAGAATCCAGGGGCATGCTTATATAATCTCAAGCCTGCACTCTTTTCGTGCTCTGGAAAGCATCCTAGCACACGCCGACTTTGTCCATGCGGGTAGATTATTGGGCTAGAGATAAGGTGAACTTTTTTTCGAAACGATTTCTGTACCTTTCCACTTTTTGCTTTTCAACTTGTTAGGTGTTTACAGAGAGATGACTGTTGTGATTATGTTGAAGTCATCATCTCTACATTGTCAACGATGGTGGGATCTGGAGATTCCCAGTCAAAGGCTAGAAATTATTTTGTGATTTCTGTCCGGATGTAAAGGGTGTTATGAAATCAGTGTGAAGAAAGAGAGAGGGCAGCAACAGGGTCTCCCTGTTCTGTGTTGTGATACAAGTTATAAAAATGATTTTTCATTTTTGTCTTGGTCTCCCTCGTGGTGAGACGAGTGTTAAGAAGAGAGAGGGCGGCAAGTCAGCGACGGCTGGTCTTGGTCTTTCTTCCTTGCTTCAAACTTTTTTTTTTTTTTTTTCAATTTTAAACAGGGATTTGTGTTGGTCCCGGCTCCAGTCTTCCGGCGGTCTTGAGAGCATCAGTCTGTTTTCGCTCGTCCGGCGAGTTGGCAAAATAGTAAAATAAAATAACAACCAATCAACGTGTACCCTTGATTACGGCGAGGAGAGCCTCCGAGAAAATTGACTACCTCATTGTTCAGGAGGATTGATTGTCAGATTAGCGCATGCCATGTTGCG